ATATAAAGTTGTATTGGATTTTAACCCAAAGTGCAGTATAAATACCATGAGTCCATACTGAGAAAAATTAATGATTTCTTAATTCCACAAACAAGGATAGACAACTCTCCCACAGAGAAAAATTCCAGTTTATGCAGACACTCCCACTTCTAGAAAGTGGAGTCTAACTCCCTACCCCTGAAGCCATGGACCATACATCGTGACTTTCTTCCAAAGAGGACAGATGGAAAGGGGACATAAAACAATCACTTTATCACAGAGACACCTGACAAGCACTACCTCAGCCACATGATCAATGAGAGCATCACCAATGATGAATTGTACCAATAGAATACACACTTGCTATGCTGTGATGAGAATGGGATTTTACATCTGTAATATTCCTCCCCCAAACTCGTAATCCCAGACTAGTCATGAGTAAAATATCAGACAAATCTCCCAATCAAGGGACATTGTTCAAAACATCTACTGAGTACTCCTCAAAACTGTCAAGATCATCCAAAACACAGAACTGTGAAAGCTAAGAGGAACCCAAGGAGACATTACAACTAAATGTTAGGGTGATTTCCTGGCCAGGATCCTGGGGCGGGTAAAACCTATAGAAATCTGAGTAAAGTGTGGGCTTCAGTTGACAATAAATAATGCATCAATACTTCCTCATTAATTGTAATAAATGTATCATATTAATGTAAGATATTAGGAATAGGGGAAGCTGGGAGAGGGCATATGAGAATTCCACTATTTTCACAAATATTATTCAAATCTTAAAGGATTACAAAGGAAAAGGTCAAAATAAAATCTATTGACAGTTTCAAAATAAAAGACACAAGGAAACTTACGGCAAAACATGCTGAGTATGTTAAAAAAGGAAATAGAAAGGAAACCAAGCACAAGCACACGGAACTTGTAGGTGTGAAACAACCCTTCCTAAATTATCTTCAGCTTTTCCTCTCCCTTAACCTTCAGTCTCATATAATAAACTAACCAGGCCTCTTCCACCACAGAAACATCTCTGGATCCAATTTTTCTCAAGCCCCACAAACACTGCCCTTATCCAAACTCATAGATGTTTTCCCTGGATATGACAAGAGCCACCGATCGAGGCCAGGTGTAGACCTAGAAACCTGTATTGCTCAAAAACCACTTTAAGACGTCTGCCAGTGTTATTTGCCACAGATGTCTGACAAGTGCCAGGCAGGGGTCAGTGTCTTGACAAAGAAACAAGGGTCCAGAGCAAAACTTAAGCTGTGCATATGTGTGTACGTGCTTAGTCGCTCAGTATGTTCGACACTTTGTGACCCCACAGACTGTAGCCCACCCACGCCCTTGGGCTCCGGTCCATGGGATTTCCCAGGCAAGAATACCGGAGTGGGATGCCATTTCCTCCTCCAGAGTATCTTCTCACCCAGGGATCGAACCTGTGTCTCCCACATTGCAGTTGACTATTTAACACTGAGCCTCCAGGGAAGCCATGAGGAAACACAGGGACTTCTCAGAGGAGCAGAACATTCACTGAGAATCCTTAAGCCAGGGGAGTTGCCTGTCCCATCGGTGATGCCCTAGGCAAGATCAGCTTGGGAACAGTGTGGTGTGTTTTCACAGAGAGGCGGCTGCTGAAGATGCTGGATCCTGAAAATGACCTCCAGATAAGTCGGTGGGGGCAGGGGGCAGTTTGGGCCTCCTAGCAGCCAAAGGCCTGAGGTTCTTAGGTACCCAGAGCAAGATCCCACCCACACCTAACAGTCATATCCAATAAGGGGCATGAGGAGTACCTGTTATGATGGCTGTCACATGTCCATCCTGGAGTGCCCCCCCAACCCCCGGGGCTGTGGTCCCGGCCTTGGCCTCAGAGCACAGATGATCTCATGGAGGCCAGGGCGGCAGCTCACCTGCAGCAGCATCTCCTCCCCACTCCCTCTCCTGACCAGCCCTGGGCAGGTCAGATGGGATCTCCAGGGGCTTGCTGCTTCCACCTCTCTGGGGCAGCCGACTCTCTTTGCAGCCTGCACTCCTGGGACCACAGTGTCCTCTCCTGCCTGGTTCCTTTCCAAATCCTCGTTTGAGTCTGGAGCCTCTGGCACCTAGGAGGGCATCCTGGGTACCACCCCTGCCATCTGCTAGAGCCTGTCCTCTGTTCAAACAGTCCGACTGGCTCCTAGTTGGCTCTGCGGGTGGCTGACTAGACACCCCTCTGCCTCTCATACTCAACCTCGAAAGCCATGACCTTACAGTCACATTTAGAAGACGCTGAGTTTTCTCCAACACGTGGGATTCCACAGGGAATGGTCTGATACACCTCAGGATCATAGAGATGTGCCCCATGCATCCGTGGCAATGATTACTACTGAGCGTCCACAGGGAGAGTCAAGTCCTGCCAGCTCCACCTTTAGCACCGTGGAAGGGGACGCTGCTCTGGGACTTCCAGATAAAGATACACACATGAGGTCATCAGGATCAGGGCCTAAGCCACTCTCAGTGGGGGGGGGGGGGGGGGCAGGTAGGACAAAACCCAAGGCCAGGTTCTGAGGGAGTGGAGGCACTGTGGGCAGCAGGGGTGTGTCGGGGGAGGGGTGTGGCTTGTGGCTGGGGCCCATGAGAAGGATGTGAAGGATGCTCCCAACTCCAACAGGGACCTTTGACAGCTGGTTGCTGTCCTTCTGATGGAGACCGAGCAGAACCCCGAGGGGACTCACAGTGCAGCTCAGCGGGGGTGGGGGCATGCTGTGGGTTGGGGGTGCGTGGAATTCCTGTAGCCAGCTCCCTGTGGGCAGCCTCTCTCAAGGGTCAGAGGACTTTAGTCTCTGGAAGAAAAACCTCACTCGGAGTGGTCTGTGTCTTAGTGTTGTCCTGATTTGAGGATTAACTCCCAGGTGCCTGTGTCCCTTCAAAACAAATGGTCATGACAAAAATGCTTCTTCTCAAAGTTCACTGATCACGGGTCTTCACATCACCCTTCCTAAGTGAAGAGGCCTGGCAGGCTCATGTCCCCATGTGTGCAGGGAGAGAGGAAGACAAGAGGTGGTGGAGCACCTAACATCTCTCCAATTCCACACTGCCTAACAGATGCTCAACAAAGAGCAGCAGTCAGAATTTATAATGACAAAATCTCAAAAAAAAAAAAAAAAAAAAAAAAGACAAAATCTCCTATGTTTTGGGGAAGAGAGTCTGAGCAGGTCACATGGGTCTTGAAATTCTCCACCTTTTCCAAGTGTCCATTGACTATGTGGCAGTGACCACATGTGTGGCCAGAATCACATCTCCTGTTCCTATTGTTCTCTGGCACTCAGCATGGAGAGCTGCCCCTTCAGCCCCTTGCACCCACACGCACACCCCACTGCAGTGACCTCACCACCTCCTTAGGCCCAGAACTCACTCCTGTCATTTGATGCCAGGCACAGCCTTAGCCTGTGAGTCTCTGCTGTCTCCACACTTCTGAACTTGCATGAACCCGGGGACGCTGGTGGATGTTGCATCTTTCCTGGCTAGCACTTATTTCTTGTGTTATTCGGATCTCAGACTCTGTCCCTCTCTCCTCTGGAAATAGCTTTGTTTTCAAGACACCTCATAGGATTGCCAGCTCAATAGGAAACGGAATAGAAAACCAGTCAAAATTGCGGCTCTGTGTGTTTTCCTCCTAGAGGTTATATTATTCAATTTGGCTGTTAGTGTGTGTTTGAGGGGGTGGGAAACAGTGTCTTTCCTGGCTGGGAATCAAAGTTCCCAGGATCCAGTCACCCAGCAGGATTTCCCCACATTCACTCATTTCATCCCTCTGAAATCTAGACCATGCTCACAAGTGGCCAAAATAAAGTCCAGATGACCAAGTCAGTGCTCATTTCAATATATTGGTAATCAGCTTTCCCAGGACAGAGAGAAGAGGGCCAACCCAGGGAATACTTGGCCATACTTCAAAGCAACATTCACCTTTCTCCAGGATTCTGAGCAGATGGTGGGGCAGTGGTAGAAAACACCTCCTTTGCCCCTGTGGTCAACAGCAATGCAACAACTGTCAGGACCCCTTCCTTTCCACCCCAGCAAGAGATCTCTCTGTGTTTTATCCAAGATGCAAAAGGACACCTCACACCAATGATTCATTTCAGACTTTCCTGTCACCCCCAAGATACACTGTCGGCAGGTCTGAGGGATGCCATCATGCAGCCTCATCACGATGACCTCCCAAAGCCCCAGAACACTCTGGCTCAGACACTGACATTCCAGGGCTCCTCCTGGAGCCTCACCGCCCTGGCCCATGCTGCCTTGTTTAGTGTGACTAGGGGACTTCTCTCCACCTTCTTTGTGTGACTAGGGCTACTAGAGCATCGCTCTAGGTGCAGGGGTGTCCTGCTTCTCCTAGTGTCCCCACTACAAACCCAGCCTTTCACAGAGCAGAGGCTCCGTAAAGGTCTTTGGAATACACGAGCCAGTGAGCAGGGGGCTCAATTAATTATCTGCTACTTCCTTAAATAACCCAGGCAAACCCAAATGCACAAGAGATAATTTAGTTTTTGAAAATGACACACAAGAAGGGCAGAAGCATGAATTCTCTACAATTGTTTTTATCATCTAGTTCATCCCCCATCAATGTTACTGCTAAGTAAGCTCACTTTTCCAAAACAGTTCTAATTCCAATTCCATTGCATTCTGTTCAGGACCACAAAACACAATGGAAGAGTTTCCAATATCTTTTACAAAACAGCAAAACTCTTGTTCATGAATTGGATAAGCACAAACGCACTGTGATCAGCATCATTCGTGAAGCTAAGTCACTGACGTTTATTTAGTCTTCTATGAAAACAAGCAAAGTTTGAATTTTTTCTAAGGAAAACAGGTGAATCTCCAAGTCATTATAGAGAACAGGAACCCAAAGATGCTATACACTGGTTCCCCAAAGTGCCCCAGGGCCTCACTTCTGAGAAGGCTGACTGCTCCGTCTTCAATCACAGAGGGAAGGATCACCTGGATCCTGCTCTGGCTCAGGCAGCCTCATCCTCCTCCCTTGCAGCCTCTGCAGACAGGGGTGGGAAGGCCCTCGAAGCCCTTTCTTTGATCCTGAGCAGAAATGCCATGACTTCCCGCTTGCTGGTCTCCGCATAGGCCCGGGGACCCCACAGGAACTCATAGCGAGCAGGGTAGCTGTAAGGCACCTGCCGGTACTCCAGGTACCCCTCCTGCACCCACACGTGTGTCAGAAGTGTCCTGGGCTCCCCAAAGACACAGTGCACACTCCCGACACACACACCCAATCTGCTGAGTGCTCCCCAGACCTTCTCCTCAGGGGCGCGGTCTCCATTCTGCATGATCAGGCTGAGGATCAGCACCAGGAGGCCGGCCTTGGGCATGCTCTGCCCACTGCTCAGCATCACATCACAGGTGAGGCCCAGGTTGGGGACCATGATGTAGATGTGCTCCCTGGGGTCCACCTCCTTCACCTCCACACCACAGACCAGCTCCAGGCAATGCGAGGCTTGGCTGAAGACCACCGGGAAGTGCTCCTGGTTATCCCTGAGGACCTTCTTCAGTATTTCCGCCTGGGAGGTCAGCTCCTTAGCTAGATACTTGAAGAGCAGGAACTTTATCAGGTTAGCTTTCATCTCCTTCAGAGCCTCCGGGGGCAAGAACTCCCCAGTGGCTACGGAGGACACTGTGAGGGAGGAGGCTGAGGCGGATGCAGCCACCTCTGCCTCAGCCCCCAAGAGCTGCACAATTCACTGGGCACTGGGCCTCGCCAGGGTCCTGAAAGTCTTCCTCGGGCTTGCTCAGCTCACTCATCTCGACCACGAGCACGATGCCTGGGATCAAACCACAGACAGGAGTGAGGCAGGAGAATAGATGGGGATCACGGGCCAGGCTAGGGGAGAGAGGGGCTGTGACTGGCCTCAGCTGAGAACCACACCCTGGGCGGTCTCACACAGGCCACTTACAGGTCTCCTTTTGAGGGGTGCTCTCAGACCTCACAGGGGCAAGCCTCCAGGGCAGCCAGTCCACTGGCTACCTGAAGGAGGAAGTGAGGTGTCTCCCCATGGTGCAGTCAGCACAGTCTGACATTTCCAGGGCTGACAAGGTGGGGGATTAGGCCCTTGTGGGGTCCCCTCTGCTCTGGGATGGGGAGCTCCTGGTGCACACTCAGGGCACCCTCCTCTCCTTGACTCCTGGGACTGCCTGGACCACCTCTGCCCTCTGACCTCAGGACTGGAGCCTCAGTCCTCTGCCTTCCTCTCCTGGTTCCTGGAGTCCTGTGAGAGAAAGGGAGGGGGCAGCTCTGCGGTATCCTGTGGCACAGCCCTGAGCCTTCCATGACAGTATGAGGGGTAGACTCTGCGAGGTCCCCCAAGTTGTGTGGTAGGAGGTCCCCTCACGGCTCCCTTGTAGTGCTCACCTTTCCCCTGGCACGGCCTGGTCCCTCCCCTATGGGGACCTGCATGGAAATTCTGAACAAGGTCCGAGCCTGAACAGAAAGCGCTAAGGGGCTCCACATGCAGCAGCCGCACCTAGCTAGGGTTTCCTGTGGGCTGGGGAGATGCTCAGTCCTCAACTCCTCCTCACGTCCTGCCTTGTCCTCCCAGCACTGACCACAGGGGCGGGGGTCTCCTCAGTCCCCCCTCGGGTTTGGGGAGTCCAGCCTCTGCCGACCTGAAGTCTCCACCCTCCGCCGGAAAAACCTCACCTCCCAAGGTCCCTAAGCCAGAGGCCAAGAATCTGCTCGCCCCGCTCTAGGGCCCCCAAGAGTCCACACAAGGGCCAGGATCCCTGTCTCCCTGTTGGGGTCTTTCTGCCTCTTTCCATCCTCAAATGCAGCCTGGACTCCAGGCAGGACCGCGGACTGTCCTGGACTGTTCCGTCCGCCATTTTGAGACCGTGCCGCTTTCACGAGATCCCCCGTCTCTCTGAGACCAGCATGTGAGGAAGGCAGACAGGCAGTGTGCTCTTCTTACCCCAAGCTCTCCCAGGATCCACTACAGGGGCGGGGATCTGTGGGGTTCCGTCGGTCCTCACGCAGGGTCCCCTCAGCTCTCCTTCAGGCACCTCGCCTTGCCTCTGAGCAGGACCCGGGATTCTCGGCTCTCCCCAACTGAAGCCCCGCCCCTTATACCAGGGCCCGGTCTCTCCAAGACCCGGATGTCAGGAAGTCAGACCGTGCCTGCTGCGCTCATTCTACCCCCACGGTTGCCCTGGACTGACAACAGAAACGAGCTTCTCTGAGGTGTCCTGTGATTGCAGTCCAAGGTCCTCTAGTTCTCCTCCTCAGGGTCCTCAACCTGACACCCCGCCAGACCTGGGAATTGGACCACCTGAGGCCCTACCCCATATCCAAGGTACCCAGTCTGAGACCCGGATGTCAGAGAGTGAGACCACGCACCTTGGGCTCATCCTACCCCACGACCACCAAGGACCAACAGCAGCTACAGGCTTCTCTGAGGTCTCTTTTGATTGGGGTCAGGGTCCCCTCAGTCCTCCCTCAGAGTCCCCAAATTGAAACTCCGCAGGAGCTGGGCTTCTTCCCTCTGCTCCCTTGAGGACACGCCCCCTTCTCCCAGGTCCCCAGTTTCTCTGAGACCTGGATGCCAGGTAATGTAGCATGTGCTCATCCACCCTCTGTGCTCCCTGAGCCTTGATGTGAGGGTCCCACCTCTGGTCAACATAGGGGGCCTCCCCGGATCTGCCAGGGCTCAAGATGAGGTCCCTGAGGGAGATTATAAGGAACCCCACAGATGCCTACCCCTGCTGTCAGCCCTGAGCCACCCTGCTGGTGGGATGAGCACTTGGCAGCCTGTTCTGACTTCCGCATCTGTGTCTCAGATACATTAGGCAACTGTCAGAAGGGGCAGGGCCTCAACTGGGCAGAGGGGAAGATCTTAGTTCTTTGGAGGGTCAAGGTGAGGATGCTGAGGGAGGACTGAGGGGACCCTGAACCCCAGAGCAGAGTGGGCTCTGGGAGGACATAGGGTGGATGAACATATGCTGCATTTCCTGACATCCAGGTCTCAGAGAGACTAGGGACCTGGTAAAGGGGGCTGACTTCCTGACATCCAATCTCAAACTGGGGACCTGGTGTAGGCAGCTGACTTCCTAACATACGGGGTTCAGACTGGGGTCCTGATATAGGGAGCAGACTTCCTGACATCTGGTTCTCAGGGTGACTGGAGTTCTGGTTTAAGGGCTGGGGGCTTAGTAGGGGAGAGGAGAGAATCCGAAGACCTACCCAGAGACAAGATGAGGTCCTTGAGCAGGAATGAAGAGACCCCACAGATTCCCGCCTCTGTCGTCATCCCTGGGAGCCCCTGGGGTGAGAAGAACACACTAGACCTGTCCTGACTTCCTGACACCCTGGTCTCTGAGAGACTGGGGACCTGGTGTGAGGAGCAGGGACTCAGGGGCGGAGAGGACAGAGCCCAAGTGAGTCGGTTTTTCCCATCAGGTGACCAGCTTTAGCATCAGTCCTTCCAATGCATATTCACAGTTGATTTCCTTTAGGATGGGCTGGCTTGACCTCCTTGCTGTCCGGGGTACTTTCAAGAGTCTTCCCCAGCACCACAGTAGTACCATTTTATACATAGTCTTGTGTATCTGTTAATCTCAAACTCCTAATTTATCCCTTCCCCTGCTTTTCCTCTTTGGTAAGCATAAATTTGTTCTCTGAGTCTGTTTCTGCTTTGTAAATAATTTCTTTTGTAGCATCTTTTTAGATTCCACATATAAGTGATACCATACAATATTTGTCTTTCTCTTTCTGCCTGACTTCTCTTAATATGATAATCTCTAGGTCCATTTATGTTGCTACAGATGGCATCACTTCATTATTTTCCATGGCTGAGAAGGATTCCTGTGTGTGTGTGTGTGTGTGTGTGTGTGTGCACAAACCACATCTTCTTTCTTCTTTATCTAATCATCCACTGATGGACATTTGGGTTCCTCCATATCTTGTCTGCTGTAAATAGTGTTGCAATGAACATTGGGGTGCATGTATATTTTCATATTAGAGTTTCTGTCTTTTCCAGGTATATATTTAGGAGTGGGATTGTTGGATCATCTGGTAGTTCTGTTTGTAGTTGTTTAAGGATCCTCCATACGGTTCTCCCTATTGACTGTACCAATTTACACTGTTCACCAACAGTGTACAAAGGTTCCCTTTTCTCTGCACCCTCTCCAGCATTTATTCTTCATAGGTTTTTATGATGATGGCCATTCTGATCAGTGTAAGGTGATATTTCATTGGAGTGTTGATTTGTATTTGAATATTAATTAGGAGTGTTGAGCTTCTTTTCATGTGCCTGTTGGCCATCTGTGTCGTCTTTGAAGAAAGGGTCTTCTTTGGAGAAAGGGTTTTGTGTCAGGGTCACACAGGCTGGGTGGCTCAAACTACGAACCGTGTTGGTTCAGGAGGCCAGCAACTGAGGTCAAGGTGTTGACTGATGCTGGTTCTCATGATGGAGGTGGAGGGTCTGTCCCATTTCTCCCCCCTCACTTCGGCGGCTTTGCTGGCCATGGTGGCCGTGTCTGGGCTTGGAGAGCTCCACCTTCCTCTTCACCTGGAGTTCTCCTCTGTGTCTGTCTGTCTCTAAATGTGTCCTTTGTATGGAGACAGCCGTCCTGTTAGAGGAGGTTCCATCTGCATGAGCTCACTTGACCACCGTCAGCTCTGAGAAGACCTTTCCTTTGTCTGTAAGGTCACGCCGAGGTACTTGGGGTTGAGACTCCAGCACCTGACTCTGAGGGGACGCGAGGTTACTCCTCACACCCTACAAAGGCTCTAAAGTAAGAACACACTGGATTGTTCTAAGGATGAAAGGGCGGCCTGTGTAGCTACTGGGGGTGAATCCAGGGGTGAGGAGAGCAGGCCACTAGGGTAGGAGCCAGATCAGGTGGGGCCTTGTGGGCCTGTGAGAACTGTGGCTTTGCTGTGTTCGGGGAAGGAAAGGTCCGGAAGGCCCTGAGCTGGGTGCCTCTGGGACTTTGTCCCCATCATCACAGAAACATGGAAACGGAGGCTCCCTGCTAGGTGCTGAGATGCTGTTGATGTTCAGGCCCATGGCTCTGCTCCTCTGCCTCCACCCCCCTCGAATAAACAGGGAACCCTAACCAGGTACAAGGAAATAAGTGAGAATGGAGGGGAGAGTGGTCAGGTCCCTTGCAGTCATGGGCTATCTCTCTATCCCTCGGTTCCTCCTCAGTGGTCAAATGAGGTGACAGTAACCTAGCGGGTTATTTGAGGTTTGAATTCTGTGATCCTTGCATGGTGCCATCCCAGGCCCTGGCAAGGACATGACCGTCCCAGTAGTTTCTGCTCTCTGTT